GAAGAGAAATGTAATCCGTAACTTCGTTCCGACGAAATTTTAACGACACAAGTCTTTACTTAATAAAACTGGTTTATTCTTTCCGAATATAACTTAACCGATACACTCAACAATCGCGCTAAACAAACGCTATAGCAACGAACGTCAATAATACTCCGACCGCAGATCAATTACTCACTATCTACCCACACTTGTTACGTCTCCGTTTCGTTTATTGATTTTTGATGTAACAGATAGACAAGTTTTTGTTCTTCGGATTCGAGTATAGTAATGAGGACAAAATTTTATCGCTTGAGTGTTATTATTGTTAACAAACTCTTTAAAAATCTTAGTTTTATGAAATTCGTCAGAAGATGAATCAAAATTTCTAAAGTGATACTTCAGACGTTTCCACAATCTGGAAGCACCTTAACGTTACTGAAAATAATAAATATATGTATGTATGTATTGTATTTCATAAACTTTCCCATTTTATTACATCTTCGGCTCACGTTCAAGCAAATTATATGGCGTAGCTTATCATTTGTACCTCGGGTTAATTCTACTCGTGCGTTAAACTGTTACTAGTGTTAGGTTTGTACTGGAGTATACTGGCTATTCATAATTATTAGAATTAAAATTTCAAAATGCCAAATATTAAGGTTTTCAGTGGGTCATCACACCCAGACTTAGCTCAAAAAGTTGTGGATAGATTAGGGATAGGACTAGGCAAAGTAGTATTGAAAAAATTCAGCAATCAAGAAACAAGGCAAGGTTTCAAGCATATTATTATTAATAACAACACAGTAATTCACTGAGCGAGGAATGTGGAGAGACACTATAGTACATAGTTCGGAACAATTAAATTTAAAGTAGATTTGTAATTGGAAATGTTTTATATGATTGAAAAATGTTTTTATTGTTGATAATTGAATGTATTTGCAATACGTATGATTAGTGCTAACTTGTTATTGGCATCAATAATCTATTAGTATTAGAAAAAATGTATAAAAATGTGTGTTATTTTAACTTTAGCAAGTAAAAACAGCTTGAGCTTAAAGTATAATTTGAAAAATTACAAAAGCATTGAGATTTCATCTATTGGGACAGGAAATAAATGGACTGAGTGTTGGGTGGGTGGTAGTAGAAGGATAACATAAATAGGGTGAAGTTGTAGCATAATGTTATAAGTTATGTAGCTTGGGGATTTTTGCTACTAGATTCTGTACTATTTTTGGCACAATTTTAAGACAAGGAGAACTTTGGTATGACTCCAGTTAAGGCAGTGTTATTTTTCTGATAGAGCATTGCAGTCTATAGAATAGCTTGTAATCATGTGTGGTATAACTACTATAATAGTTTTTTTGTTTATAACTTGAATTAATGGTAGGTTTTGAAACTTAGTTTTGTCTAAGAATCAAAAAGTTACATTTAAATAGATTGTTCAGGTAGTTTATTGCTATTCTTGATTGGTCACTTTAATTTCCATAGCTGTACTAACATGTATAGTTTTTCAAAATGCATATGAGCAAAAATGAGCCATTGTTAATGTAAAATCCATATTAAAACTGTTACATTTAAATTATTAAATAATGGTCTGTATGAAATTTTTTTTAGTACTTGTAGGCTGGTAATTATTAAAATATTAAGGTTTTTACTGGGTCATCAATCCAGGTTTATCCTAATAAGAAACAAAAATTATATGTGTTTGGTAAACTGTTTTATGTTTTAGTGTTGAGATTGGAGAATCAGTCAGAGGAGAAGATGTGTATATTATTCAGAGTGGATCTGGTGAGGTTAATGACAATCTTATGGAACTTCTTATCATGATTAATGCTTGCAAAATAGCATCTGCATCTCGTGTTACTGCTGTCATTCCTTGTTTTCCATATGCCAGACAAGATAAGAAAGATAAGGTGAGTTTTTCCAGTTAATTGTATACTTTTAAAAAATATAAATTAACTGTTTATAAAGTGTGCTGCTGATTTTAGGTCGTGGTAACATTTATGTTCTGATGATTAGAAGTTCCATTTTTGCTATGTTGTACAGGCTATTTTTTAACACAGAAAGTGTGCTATTCACAATTATAACTTGTAAGGGCTTACTATTATACTGGTATATATTCTTGTTGTCATTGCTATTTTTGATTTTGTTATTATAATGATTTTCTTGTTCAAGTGTAGGTACCACTTTGGAAGCTTTTTCAAAGCATTTTTCAACTTCAGAAAATCATAGTTTCTCCGAAATGTACCAACCACATGCTTTCAGAACTCTAAAATGCTTCCAAGTTTAAATTGTTCTACTTTTTTTTTTAGCGTATGCATAAAACAGCTGAATACGTTTAAGCTCTTCTATAACATACTATCTATCACCCTAATTTTATTGTCACCTCAATCAGGATGTTTCAAAATATTCTCAAAAATGTTTTCTAGAAAACTTATTTCTACTTTTCTCTCTCACTCTCCCCTGTCTTTTACATATTTCTATACCATGCAAAGTACCAAATTCCAAAGAATTGATCAAATACCTAACAAAAGCAATCCTTAGTGTCCCTACTGAAGTATATAGCTGAATAAATTTTATCCTATCTTTTTCTTTTTTTTTAGGTGCACTTAAACTTTCTCTCAGGTGAAATATTTTGTAGGTTTAAAATTTACAATAAGAGTAATGTATGGTATTTAAATATTCTAAGAATTTGTGAGTGAAAGCAAAGAAGAATTTATAATAATAATACCTCTATCACTCTGTCTGCCTATTGTCTATTGTCAAGGGCTTATCAGGCTGGCTGGGATACAACAGACGTAGTAGTGGCCTAGGTGCTTTTATACTCGTGTTGCTTTTGTACTTGAACAACAGTTACACATGAAACTATACAGATTGGCAAAATAACAAGGATAACTGTATTAAAACTTCTGGTACATGTAATAATCAGTAATCCAAATTACATTGATTTTTATTTTACTGAGTTGTATTTGATTTATGAATCTTTACTAATAGAAATGTTTAAGTGGAGTTGATCCTGTTTTTGAAAAGATAAATAAAAAATTTGGAACTTAAAAACCTGCAAATAGGAATCATAAAAAAAACTAAGGAAACAAGGCTGGAGCTATTGTAGGTATTATTTACCCAAACTATAAACCCCTATTTTGGCTCCATGCTATTACAAAGAATTAGATTTGGTGGAATCAAAATAGGGATTTGTAGTTTGAGTAAATAAAGTCTACAGTATCTCCAGCCGTGGTTTCTTACTTTTTTTGATGATCCCTATTTGTAGGTTTTTAAATTTAAAATTTTTTATTTATCTTTTTTGTTTATGCTCAACTATGGACAAAGGATTACTTGATATAGTATCTAACTTTATACATTGTAATGATAATATACATAGCTAGTATGTAGCTAATATTGTTGATGATGATTTACTGTTGCTATTGACTATTTGATCATGCTAATTCAAGTTGTAAAATGTTAAGCTGCAGCTGGAGATTGTCATGGAGATTTGTTTGAGAATATAGTGAGCATTTATAGTTTATATGAAACTAAATTTACTATATATACATATAATGCATAGCAATGGGCAAATATATGCCTAGGCTAAGACACAACCTCATAAGTGCCAAAAAAAATACCAGTAGAAAAGCAGCCTTTTAAAATAAAACATATATGTCTAAAACACTGCTTTAAATAAACTTTCATGTCTCTTAAAGTAATTATTCTATGAGTGTGGGTAATAAAATTTAATATTATATGTATTTTTTTTTAATCCTTCACTTCATACATAATATAAAAGTTGGATCCCTATAAACACTGATTGTATAGTGTATAAAGCATTGAGTATTCTACATCTTACAGTTATCTAATGTTCATCTATTATTTGCTGGTAATTCCTGTTTCACCCTATACTTGAGATTATTAACCTTTAGACCATGATCTACTTACATTGTAAGTAAGTATGCAACTTTCATGAAAGTTCTTTATTAAAATGAAACTAGTTGATGAAATAATTTTAAATTTGACTTGAACAGTCCTAAGATTATGTACTTTTAGAAAAATAAGATACGTAACTTTGATTTTTTTACTATTTATAATAAAACATTCATTATTTAATCTGAATAGTTCACATGCAATGCAATTTATATTTTGAGTATAAAATTACTATTTCTTATCTCAGTTTTCACATTCCATCTGCATAATCTCTAGAACCTTCTAAGTGAATATCAAAAGTTTCTAAGGAAAATGTTTATATTTTGTTTTCCATTTTCTCTGTTATATCATTAACTCCAGATATCATTATGAACGTACAGTACAATAAAATGTTTAAAGTTAAGAAATGGAAGTAAGTACATACCTTTTTAAATTTTTGAATAATAGTTTTCAAATTTCTTTTTGTCATATGCATAATTTCACATTTTTTATCCTATCACTTGTAGTTTATTTTTAATCTTCCTTTCCAATTCTTTGTTTTTTATTCATTATCCCATTATAATATTTATTATAGGGTGAGTCTGGGTGAGTCTCATGCACAAATTCCAAACACTTATGCTCACACACGCGAATGATGCCCTCTTGCTTAGACCTTTTGGTAAGCCAAACTACAACACGTTAAACGTATAAAAATCATAAACATTTTAAATATGCATTTTAAAACACAAATAAATACATAATTAATTAAGATATAAATGTAAAACCTAAATGCAATCTGTTTAGTAAACTAATACATGTAAGGCGAGAAACACTTGCCAAACATTACATACCCCTCAAGAGAACAGTGGACTAAGCTTATTTTCTATTTCATACTACAGATCCATGCACAGGTGGAGGTTTCTTCAGGCTATAACTGAATAGTGCAAAATCTGCTCTTTCTATAGGTGATAAACATGCTATTAAACTTCAAAGTGTCGCTTGACAACACAGCTTTGACTTTGCAAGTGGGCATGGCTGACCTTAACCTTAGAAATATTAGAATGTTGTTTCACACCGGGAGAAATTTTTGGAAATTTCTCCCCAGCTAATGAGAGACAGCTGGAACTGTACTTTGACCATCTCTACCGACAGTCTATATTAGGAACTCGTAGTTTCTTGTGTAAGACCTCTTAAACTTGAGAATTTTAACCACAGTGAATCACGTGACAGCAAAAACTGCAGTTTTAATTGCTGTTTCAGATTTTTCTTTTTAAAATAAAGGAATAAAACTTAGATAATATAAAACCCAAAATTATAATGTACTTTATAATTATTTCATTAAAATACATTTGTAGAAAAGTGGTTTAATTCAATTTTGAATTTAACTCGGTAAAAATCTCATGACATACGCAGAAAGGGGTTTAAAGGATCATTGCATTCAAAGGGTTAAAGTAACACCAGATATTTGTAAGAAAGGTAATTTCAAAGGTTAATGATGACATCGTTTACACTAGAATTATGATGGTTTTTATCTTATGTAAAGTATAGAAGAAACAAATAGACTTTTCAATACCCCTACGCATTTACAGTACCGTGATTAGTTTATCAGAAGTATGATATGATCTTGCTGCATGTATTAACAGCATTAATACATGGACAAGCCACTAGTATGAGAGTTGACAGATATAAAAGACTGTTTAGTGTATGTAGTATTATTAATTAATTAATTTTGTTTGTAATTCATTGATGTAGAGGCTATTGAATGTTGTGTGAAAACCACTGATGTTGAGGCTATAGAGATTTCTAGAAGGCCTAAGTGATAGAAGTATAAATTGCTGCGACCAGACGAGTGGAAATAGAGAGAAAGTGTAAAATGATGGGAAGAGTAGTTCGGTGAGAGCAAAGTTAGAAAACGCAAAGTTAATTGTCATAAGAGTAAAAGGCCTAACGGTTGATTTGTTAGAGTGAGATTAATAGTTTGAAAGAGATAAGGAGAATAATTTGTCTTGTCAAAGGGTGTTCTAAGCTAATTGAACCTGCCTGTGTGGACTTTGACGAAAAAGCAGACGAATATTGGAAGTACAGGATACAACTGTGGTAACTCACAAGACAGCATAAGTGAATTATATGGATACTATTTTGATAAAAATAGTTCAGCTTGTCAACTGAATTCTGAAGCAATTGAATTGGCCTAAGTGGACTTTTGGCAAGGAGAAGAGAACTGTATAATTTTTATGATACAACTATGATCTCCGTATATATACGTTTAACTCGTTTCAAATATAAATATTATTTTAAAAACAAGTAGAGTGTGTGCTGTTTGTTTATTGTTGAATTTATCACCAACAAGTCACACACTTGCTGTAGAAGAATCCTTAGCCCAACACACCCATATGCTTACATTAATATATACTACTAAAAAGTTAAGTCTTTGACAAGAGTAATGTGGTATTTATTGACAAGAAGATCAAATTGTTTGCCAGTGCTCGAGAGGATAGGAACCTGCATATTAAAGAATAGTATCATTGTAAAAGATGGGAATCTATTGTTAACTAAGGACAGTTCAGCAGTTTCCTTATTAGGCAGTTGTGCTAACCCTTCCATGTCAGGCCTTTTTGGAAATGAGCTCAAAATAGTCCGTTTTTTTATTTGGCTTTTTGATATTCTGTACTTATATATTAATGAAATATAAGTTCTTTTATGATCTGTTAGTATACTTCTGCATAAAAATATACTTCATAAAAATATGTTACATATCTGGATTTATATGTGATATATTTTATTTCAATGAAACAACAGTAGTAAATAGGAATGCTTTTCTCCAGTGTTTTATTACACATCATTTAGAATAAATCTGATAGTGATCAGCCCTAATAGCATTTCCAGTGCCATCTAGTGACCACTGGTTGTGACACATAACTTGACTATATTCTGTCAAATGATTAAACATATGGTGAGAAATAGTTTGCTTGGGTTATCTTGGGCAAACCACAGAAGAGGTTAAAAATACATTTTA